AGTTATTATTCCTATTGCATTATTATCTATATATACACAGAGGATTTGCATGTGTGTGTATGTGAGTGAGTGTGCGGGAGAGAGAGAGAGAGAGAGAGAGCATTTAATCAGCCATTTCTGAAGTGTGTTATGCAGTTAGACAGCAGCCTCTCCCTATAAGGCTCAACTGGGCCCACAGGGACCTTAGAAGGTTCCCCACAAGAAGAGCAGTTTGATCACTCTGTCCATTAACACCCCCCCCCAAAAAAACAGATGCTCCTCTGCTTCATCCCCAGTCTGCAGAAACATCACCCTGGGGCGGCACTGACGTGGGGCTCAGGGCACTGGGGGAGCCATCAGGCCGTGACAGACAGGTGGCGTCAGCCAGGGAGGGAGGGTGGGAGCCAGAGGAGGCCACATCTCAGCCCAGGCAGCAATATCGGGGAGTTACACATCACATAATCAGCCCACCACCTGCAAGCACCCGGAGTTACACATCACATAGTCACCACCCCCAAGTAACCAGTTACACATTACATAATCACCCCCCAAACACCCAGAGTTACACGTCACACAACCACTCCACCGCCCGAGTACCAGGGGTTGCACATCACATAATCACCCCAAGCACCCGGGGGTTACACATCACATAACCCCCACTCACATGCACCTGGAATTGCACATCACATAAACTTCAGCACCCCATACCTGGAGTTACACATCACATAATCACCCCCAAGCACCCAGAGTTGCACATCACATAAACCCCACCCCTCAAGCACCCTGTAGTGTGGCTTTGACAACCTATATCCCATCCAAGCACAAACAGACACACACGCACACGCATGCACACACACACACGTACATAAACACCTTAACACTTCTTTCAGAGACACAAGGATGAGGTCTGATCCAGGATTCATGACTAACTGCTAAGCTGTACCCATCATACCAATTCTCTGTGTATTTGCCATTTTTCTAAACATTAAAATAAATGTGCTTGAGGAAGGCTGGCACCCCCCCCCCACCCCCGACCAGAAAAATGATCCTCTGTCTGTCCTGCAAACTACAAACTATTTCATTGTCTGAAAAAAAAGCAGTCAATCACATCTGATCAAGAATCTGTGGCTACTGGGCTCAAAGAAAGAGTAATGATGACTGGGGGGAAAGAAGGGTTAGCAGAAGAACGATCCGGAGAGAGATAGAGAGCGAGAGACAGCAAAGGAGATGGAGGAGGGGAGAGGCCTGGGGGTCAGTTAATGAATTAGAGCTGCGAGGCGGCGGGAATGAGGACAGGCGGGAGACAGAGCTGCAGGGAGCTTTCGACACCTCTGGGGTGTCAAGTAACGAACGGGAGGGAGGCGGCGGACAAACATGAAAACGCGGAGAGCCGCTAATGCGCTAACGGATCGGCCATTTTGTGGTGGAACGAGGGGGCAGCAGGAATGTGGATCTGGTCAGAAAGACAGAGATCGAGAGCCTGGGGCCTGTTTTTGCTCCCTCCCCTGCCCCCCCCCCGCCCTGTCTCCCGAACATCCCCCCCCCACCCCACTCTGCCCTCTCTCCCGA